TTTATTTATATGCTTTAATCAAGAATAAATGATAATAAGAAATTATAAAAGATTAAAAAAGTCATTGAGGCATTGATGTTCATAAGTTAACTGAACTAAACGAATTAGTTTATTATAGTTTGGGATCTATACAATTTTTTCTTTAATTAATTTGGTTTGGTTTAGGCCTGTATTAAGTTTGAATTTTTATGAGATATTTTTTATAATCACCAATATATATTTATATTTACTGATAATGTTTAACTATTAATTATTATTTTCAATTTAAAAATTTCTTGGGCCAAAAGAATATTTTTCAACAATAATTTTTCATATTTAACTATTTAAAATAATATATTATTTTTAAAAAACTCGATTATAATTTTAAAAAAATATCATAAACAATTATAGATACATTTAGCTAATTGGAATGTATTTCTACTAATGATTTACAAATAACTAAATTTGAAAAGGCAAAAAAATTTGACAAACTGAAAAAAAATATAATAAATATAATAAGTATTGGTTTAGTTTTAGTTCAAGTTTCTATAAATAAAAATATAAACTGAATTAAACTAATCAATTTTGACAAAAACTAATCGGCTTTTGTTGGTTTGGTTTGGTTTGGTGTGATTAGGTTTGAACACCCTTAGCATTGATAGTGAAAATGCAAAAAGAATAGTAGATTTGAAATGACTATAATTTCAAATGTGTTGGCCTGATTTTGGTGAAGGGGTCAAAGCATCAAGATCCTTAAAATGTTCGAGTGTGCTAGGCGTACTAGAGGAGTGTGTCCTCAAAAGATTGAATTGCAATTAGATGATTGAAATGGATTCCCAAAGTTCTTGACCACAATTTTCTTAGAGAGTCAAGCAACTTGTGAGAATAAACGTGGGCCTCAATAGTATTAATTGAAAAGGATAATACAATAAGGTGCCCCATGAATACGGAGAGACAGTCAAGTTTGGAAAACTAGCATATATATGTGAGTTTGCTTAGAGAAACTAAGTTGCACTAGGTGAGGTTGAAGACAACATAATGTTGGGAGTTGAGTAATTGTGCTATGAAAGTCAAGTGTGAATTTGGCAAAATGTCGAAACCTTAACTTACATGCTTATTGCCCATTTATAACAAGTGGCAATGGCATAGTCCTTTTTGAATTTGAGTTTAGTGCCAATAGCAGCAAATAACTATTCATGCCTATAACTACCTATAGCGAGTTCTATTGTGCGAAGTGGTAGGTGCTAAGGTGCCAAGAATATCAAATAGTGGGAGGAATGGGCGTGACTCTGTCAAACATCCCCTCAAACGCACTATCTCACTTGTTCTTTACTAAACTGTAATTGAGTTGAGTTCCACCTTCTTTGGTTTGAGTTTCAAAATCTTTTGTAATTGGGCTTGGTGCTTCAATTTTGATTCAAACAAAATATTTAGAGTATAAAGAAAATTTAAAATTATAAAAGAATTATAATTAAAAAAAAGACTTGGATTTAAATCAAATTTAAATTCATAAATTTTTATGTATTCAAATGAGGGATTTGGTTCAAAACCAAATTCAAATTCCCATTAATTCAAATACACAATTAATTTTTTTATTTGCATAATACATTTGTATAATTATTAATTAACATTTTATTTCCTTTTTTTTAACGAAAATGATACATGATTATTTTTATTTTAAATTTGAACTTGTATACTTTTGTATTCCTTCCTCATAATCAACATACTCTAATGAAACAAACAATTGCGAACTGCAAGCTGTAAGTTTTGCAGTTTACACTTTACAATCCACACATACCCCCTGCTCCTTCTGGAAGAATACTATTTAATTCTGTGGCCCATAATGGTATTGAGCCTGAAAATTGGCCTATACTCTGTACTAGTGGTCCATCCAAGACTAAGAACTAGGCATTCTATGCTTTGGGCCTGCACTAGCGACCTTAGTTAGTTAGTTAGTATTTTTTTTTTTTTTAGATTTGCCTTCACAGTAGGAGGATATCGGTGTAAAACAAAAAAAAAAAAAAGTAACACACTTTTTTTGAAAGAAAAAAACTTCTGTGCTTCTCTTCTTCAAAGAGATAGTGTTTCTTTAATCCTTTTTCAACCAGCCTCGTGCCGTTTTGCAGCTCACATAATCAGATCTGCCCCAAAAAAACCTCCAAATTGTGGAAAAGAAAATTTGTGCTGATAATAACCCTACAATAGAGAAAGTGTAAGTGTTCTTCTATTATTGCATCCATTAAATGTACTTTTGATAAATATATTTTAGGTTACAAGGCTTCTACATGCAGGCTGTGTGTTCCCTTATTTTAAGAAGTAATAATTTAAGGAGAAAAAAAAATCTTCTAATTAACAAGCATCTCATTGGCTGGACTTCTTACAAAAGTTACAAAGATTAGAAATATACATTACAAAAAATATAACTTTTGGCGACAACTTTTAGCGGTGACTAAAAAAGTCACCACCAAAAGTGGACAATTGTCGTCGCTAAAAGTTGCCATCAAAACTATATTTTTTTTTGGCGGCGACTTTGATTTGTCGCCGTTAAAAGTTCACTTTTGGCGGAAATATTTTGTCACCGCCAAATGTATTTTTATAAAAAAATTAAAAATTAAAAATAATTAATATAATTTATTTTTGGTGGTGACATTTGTTGCTACCAAAAACATTTTATAAAAAATAATTTAAAAATTAAAAAAATAATTAATAAAAATATTTTTACAAAAAAAATTTAAAATTTAAAAATAATTAATATAATTTGCATTTGTCACTATCAAAAGTATTTTTATAAAAAATAAATTAAAAATTAAAAATAATTAATATAATTTACTTTTGGCAGTGACATTTGTCACCAACAAAAGTATTTTTATAATAAATAATTTAAAAATTAAAAAATAATTAAATAAAATTATTCAAAATATATTTATAAAATTAAATTTCTTATTTTATGTATAGAATTAGAAATAAATTATATATAGAAACGTGAAATAAAAAAATAATAGTTAAAGTGTGCTAAGTTTAATTATTAATTTTTTTTAATTTTATATTATTCATAATCATTTTTTAGACATATATAGCTCATATTTTTTTTAAGAATTATGTTATTAAGTTAGTATTTTAATATGATAAATTAAAATCTTAATGGGTTATTACTTCAATTATAATTAAGTTAAGTTATACATAAATTATTACTTACAATCAAATACATAAGTGGCATTAGGAAGTTAAAGTTGTACGAACATTGTGATATGCTAATGATATTATAGACTACTTAGCATATTGTACACTTTATGCTTAGTTTGATATACATATAGTATTTACTTCTTCTAATGAGCTCTACTAACTTTTGGATCAGAATTTCATATAATTCCTTCTATTATATTTAGGTTTTCATTGCTATAATAACATTTTATAACTAATTATTACTAAGAATAATATGAATAAGTAATAACTACTCAAATTCAACTTTCTATAAGATTGAAGATGATTAGATATTAACTAGATTGATCACATATGAGATTCTTGTAATTATCATATATTGCAAAAGTTATTTGTATTCATTTTCAAAATTATTCAAAATGACTATTAACAAAATTTATGTGGTTAAAATTAATTTTTTATTAAAATAATTTTTTAAGATATTGAAAAATTATCTATAAAATATATTTTTATTAAAAGAGGGAGAAATATTTAGCTATTTTGAGAGAAGATAAAAATTTAATCATTTAGTTTATCAATTTTTGAGAAAAATATGGAGAAGAAAAAAGTAAAATATATTTAACATAAAATAATATAATACATATTTATAAATAAATTATATACTTAATAATTTTCATTTAAAAATAAAAATATAATTTAAAAATTTATTACAATGTATAAAAGAATATTATTTTAATATTTAAAAATTGTTTATTTTAAGTTCATTTTCCTAAAAAAATAATATTTACTGATAAAAAATAATATTTTATTAAAATTATAATTTAAATATTCATATAAATCATTTTGTCATATTAATAATTAAAAAAAAATAATATATGTATATCTTTTTAATCATATATTATTTGATATATGTGTATGCAGTTACATAATCTATATATTTAGTTTCACATATAATAACTGCAGGTAAATTTCAGTTCAACTGACAAAGAAGGAAGGTTTAAAGCTTGGAGGAGGGAAAGGTCAAGGGTTCAAACCTTGGTTTTGCCATATTTTACAACAAATATGTGACGTGGTGCGTGATGGTGATGTGGCACGTGAGGTGGTTTGAGAAGGCACACACGTGACAGGTGATGTGACATAAGATGATGGCGTGGCACATGAGGTAGCTTGAAGGGGCACACACATGGCAGGTGACGTGGCACGAGATGGTGGCGTGGAACATGAGGTGGCTTGAGGAAGTGCACATGTGTCTGTGACATGGCATGAGATGGCTAAGTGATGTGGCATTATCTGTTGAACACGTGGACTGTGACGTGGCATAAGATGGCAAGTGACGTGATATAATCTGTTGCATATATGGTAGGTGATGTGGCATCACTTAATGCACACATGGCAAAGTGATGCGGCATAAAGTAAATTATTATTTCTTAAAAAAACGTTTTGGCGACGACATTTGTTGCCGCTAAAAAGACTTTTAGCAAATTATTAGCGATGATTGTTATAGTGACGATTTTTAGCGGCAGAAAGTCGCTGCTAAAAACTTTTAACGATGATTTTTGAACTTTTGGTAGCAACTTTTTATTGTTATCAAAAGTTAATTTTTTTGTAGTGATAAGGAACAACAAGTTACCGTACGTGCATGCTAATAACTAGATATTGTAACAATTTTATAAACGCATGAGCGAAGAATAAACCGTGTTTAGGGCTCCGATTTCAACTGACGTTGTTTTATCACCTTTTAAACAAATGGAAACGTCATGTAAATATGAATTTTGTATGCTCCCACCAGGCAAGTAAAAAAAATATAGTCTAGTGGAAACAAAAAGCCGGTATAGATAGAGTTATATATACACAAACACACATAAGAAGACAACATGATGCATGTCTTGGCTCCAAAAAGAAGGAAGGGAGAAAAAGGAATAAAGAAAAGGAAGCTAAAGTGGGTGGTACATGCTAGACAAAGTTTAATTTCCTCACAGTCACAGGCGTGTGAATAATCATCCGGTGCTTTCTCATAAAGTGAACCCCTCGCCAACTTCCAACACATTCCTCGTTCATATTCAGAATGTCGTTTCAGGTTTCCTTCACCTGCTAGCTATTTCAGCACTCCCACGACAAGCTCCATATATTCATAACACTCTCTTCCACTGTTCTCTCCATCACCTTCCACCACTACAATACAGAAGTGCTGATCCCAACCTTGTTCCCATGGTTTTCTTGCCTTGGAGGCTATCTTTACCATAATGATCACTTGCCCTCACTTTTCTGTTCTTTCTATGCAACTGAATCTACAAGATACCATTTGACCTTGTTAAGGGTCATCTCTTACTTCTTTTACAGCACTTTGGTTGGATCGATCCGCATATAATTCGCTGATCTTACTGAGAGTACTATATATGGGTGCTCTTTCTGTGTTGCTTCTTGTGCTCATCATCTTCTGCAATTCTGGTTTGCTTGGCATAGCCAGCGGTTTCTTCAACTTGACGAGGGTCGACACTTCCTGTGCTGAGAATAATGTCTCTTGCAAAGTAGATTTTGAAGACAAGAGAGGCGTGCCAAATGGAGCTAACCCTCTGCATAATAGGTAGATTGGATCAAAAGCATAGTTTAGCATCTCGAGGGATGAAGGAATCTGCTATTCTCTCTTTCTTTTCTTCTTGTTTGGATGTTGTTGCTGTCATTTGAAACAAGACAAGAGCATATTGGGAAATTGAGTTAAATATGGACTTCTTTTGTCTTTCTAGTGGTGATCTGACATGCTTGTGCATGAGCTGTCCCCCTAGGTTCGGTAAACCTCTCATGGACAGTCTTGCATGCCTGTCTTATTTTATTACTTGTATCTCGTTTTCATGAACTGTTTCAATCATTAAGTTATCATGCCATATATATAAACTAATTAATTAACACCTCTACTAGCCACTATCTCTCCTTATCTCAAAACCTGCTTTCCTATCCAGGCATAAAACGACCATTTTTCTTGATGTACTAAAGATAAAGTTTTTCAAATCGTTCGTTAGGAGAATGAGCACTCCATTGATTATTTTAGTTAATTAATGAACAACATTGTTTGATGATGAGTTGTGGCCATAATCAATCAATTAAAAACCTTACAGATGATTCTTGAAACCAAGGAAGTAAGAACTATGTACATGAAGCCAATAAGAAAAGGCGAAACCGGAATCAAGTGCTCGTGACCGATTTAAGGGAAAAAGAAAGGAAGATATCTCGAAGTTTGAAGAGGTCAAAGGAATGATTTTTACTAGATAGAAAGGAGGAGAGACAGGTAGAGAACGTAGCTTGCTTTTTTAAAACACGCGTATGCACACAAAGTTGTAAGCTTTTTGTGTTGTTTTCCTTTTTGGGGGGTTAATAAAGTTGGATGTTTTATAGTGGATGCGATGAGGTCTCATGTGCATCATGTGCAGATGAAAGGAGAGATCTACTAACTGGTTGGGGTTGGTGAATAGTAGAGGATGATTCTTTGGCAGCTGTTCCTGTGTTGAGTTCACCTTAATGTTCTCTTTTCTTGTCTTGTTCATTCCCTTGTGCCCCTCCTGGATCTACGCAAAATGGTGGGTGAAAGAAGTCAGAAATAGGGAAAAATGAAACTTGAAAAAGTGTTGTGCTTATATGTAAAGCTTACAATATATACATGATGAGTGCATATATTAGAGTTAAATATGTATAAATTTTGGTTTACATTTAATTAAATTTATTAATATTTTATACTTATTTAATTAATATTGATATATTTTCAAGAATTCCTCTATAAAAGATCTACTCTATTGTTATTTTATATTGTGCAAGTAAAATACAAAAAGATAGAAGCAAACGAAGAAAATCAGCTTATATATATATATATTGAAAAGGAAAAAAGAAGCTGCGTGACCAGCCATATGAATTGATTAATTGAGGGGGAAATAAAATAAAATAAAAGAAAAAGAAAAAAAGCAAACAAAGACGCAGGCCATGGAGCATGTAGTGTTATATATATATATATATATATATTAGAGTCCTACACGGAGTAGGAATGAGAGAAGTCTTAACTTTATTATAAACACTCCTTTCTATGAAGAATAGAGAATCCAATCACTTTTCGAAACAGTTCAAGAATTTTCATGAAGGATGGAAGAGATTATTAGGGAGTTCTTCACTTCTTAATTATATTCTCTTCTAATTCCTTATTTTTTTTTCCTATGATTTGTTATTCATGATTATGAGTCACTACCAAAAAAACTCATTTTGCAATGGATTTTACCCTAATTTTGGGAAGGAATTGGCGATGAATAGCCTTCTATCATTATTTTGCTGGTCACAAATTTTTTGTGACGGAATTTCAAAATTAGTTGCAATTTGAGATAGATAGTTTAGATGGAATGTTTGTTTCTAAATTGGGACAAATGTTGGTGTCACAAAGGTATCCTAAACTTGTGATAGATTGCGTTGTCAAATATTTGTCCCAAAAGTTTGTGAAGAAAATTGTCCGTTGCAAATGTGTGTCAATATTTGTGAAGAAAAGTTTGTCGCAACGCATTACAAATTCTGTGAAGGGCTATGTTGACACAAATCCATTGCAAATCTATGCCTAAAAGCAAAACAATCTTTAATTATTTATTTAATTTTAATTGCTATTTCCCCCAATTATTACTTTACAATCTCAACTTGTAACAATAATTTTATATATAAAAATCAGCAAAATTATTATAAATTTAGCTTAAAACATTAAGAACAATGATAAGGATGATGAAGCACAATGAAGGAGCAAACCTTTTGTTCTTGTAGAGGGACTTTCCATAATAATTCCTTCTAACCACTCGAGAGAGCTCCTTACGCCATTTAGGAATAGGTATCTTTTTCAGTATAACCAGACAGTTTCCAACCTATACCTCCATACATTCTGCACACCCAACTGAGAATAATTACAATAAGGTGTTCAAGATGTCTTGGCCAATTCTCAAAAAAGTCTAGAAACAACTACCTCAATCAAATGTCAAATGATAGTGAAATCATTCAAAAGTATTTAAAATAGTTAAATAGCACCATAATCACTAAAAAATCAAATAGAAGCATGAGTTTTATCATCATCTTCATCATCCACAGGAGGCATATGCTTAAGCAAGATATTAATATTCTTTTGACAATTTTGGAGCTCTTATTACTGCTCATTTATTATTAACTCAAGCTTTTTGTTCATCTTTGTCAAAACATTCACGCACTTTTGCAGCTTATTCTCAAATTTTAGATGGAATGTTGTATAATACGAGGCATCATCTATATAACAAGAGCCTTGACATGAAGGAGTCTTAGATCCAATGTCAAAAATGCATCTCTTCCTATTAACACCACCAACAGCCTTCAACCACAATTCTATATCATCAGCACAATCGGTGGATCCATATATAGAAAGTTCTCCCTAATTAGAGGATTCACTAGATCTCTATAAAGTCATGAAATGTTTCTATAAAAATATAGGTGATTAAATTATAATTTAACTAAATTTTATAACTCAAAAAATTGAATGATAGGCATTCATTTAACTTATCAAATTGAAAAAGTGTCTGTAAAGAAAATTAAAATGCAAAAGGTTTAACATTCCATAAAAAATACAATAAGAGGTACAGTTTTACATCAATTTCATTCAAGTTTACCTCATAACTTTATCAAGCATTAACAAAATTCCAATAATAAAATGAATCCCACATAAGCAGTCAAGCCTCTGGCTATCAGTATATTCCCAATGACAAATCAAAACAAAGAAATACTCACTCCATTAAAAAATATAAAGCATTTTTTGAGGAGTTGGATGTTCAAAAATATAAGGCATTTTTAGTCTTTTGAGGTGTAATTATTACATTTTTTTTAAATTGTCCTTATTGATGAATGACTTTATATTTATTATAGGGTATTTAATAGAGGTAAATATAGAAAGATAGGGTTAGTTTGAAAATAGATAACTATTTTATTGAAGGGCAAGATTCGCTTAAAAATGCCTTATATTTTTTGGCGAAGGGAATATATATAAATTTACATATATGTTAGCCAACCTTTAATTAATAAGTTGTCCAAATTTTTTATTATAATGTGTGCACGCTTAAAAAGCTCAACCATTGTTGGCTCCCTCCCAAGTTCTATAATCTACAGTTATTAAGTATAATTAGAAATATTCATTCAATATGAAAAATAATTAGTAATTTGATTTGAAAAACTTATCATCCTTCTTTTATGCTCAAATACAAAAATGCTATTACATCTATTATTCATTCCTCCATTGACAGAGGCTTGATTTTCTGTAGCTTTTTTTTTGTTATGATATTTTGGCTTATTCCATTATGCTTTTAATTCTTTCCATACTATTTTTGGAATCCAATTGGGCCTAATACCTGAACTTTAGACTCTAGTCATGTTTTCTCAAGATGTCACCACACTTTTTCTTCCAATTAGCTTTAATTCTTGCATCATTTTGTGGTAGTCATTTAAAAGTTTTATGTGTATAAAATGAAAGATTCATAAATTATCAATGAAATAAAGAATAAGAATTCAAAATGTTCAAATAGAAATACCAGATTCATTCAGAGGACTAATAACTTTGAACTTTAGGAGGTGTATTTTCCATTTTGAAACATGGGTACTCAAATTTGAATTTGATAATGAAAAGGAAACTCCTAACAACATTGGTAGGGTTGAACCTACAGTGAGATGTATTTTTGCGAAATGATATTATGGTTTTAAACAGAAAATGCAACTTTAGAGTGCATATATCGTTGTAGAGCGTTCGTTGAGCTGTGCTTTTATATTCTGGAGGGAGGGTGTTCGAACCATGGATCTTTCTAGCTTTCATATTTTTATAAGCGTGATTTAAAAAAAAAAATTGCACCCACAGATTTGACCACGTGATCACTAGTAAGAAAAAGAAAAGTATAACTTTAGGTTCCTGTATTTTCTTTGATATTTAAGGTTTCTACATTTTTATTTTTTAATGTTTTAGGTCCCTCCATGAACAAAGTGCAGGAATTTTTGAGGGACTTAAAACATTGAGAAATAAAAATATAAGGACTTAGAACATAAAAGAAAAATATAGAGACCTATAGTAAAATGCGAGCAAAATATAAGGGCCTAAAGTTATATTTTTTCACAAGAAAAATAACTTAGCATCGAATAGTCCAAATGCCATTCTATCATCACTTTTTAACATTATATATATATATATATATATATATGTATGTATGTATGTATGTATGTATGTATGTATAATGTCTAAAACATTTAAATTAATATTATATATTTTTATTTAGATCATGATCATATCATTAATATAAATTGGATTGTAGATTTTAGAAATCAATTGGATTGGATAACCTACCACATAATATAGCAAAAATAAAACTTTAATTATTCAATTGAATATTTGGTGAAACAAAGGTCTAAGAAATGTGAGGTGTATATAGTGATTCTAAGTAAGCTAATAATATGATTAGTAGAGAAGTTAAATAAGATTACCCTTGCCATGAGATTGTTAAGAAACTATAAATCACTTTTAATTAGAGACTAGAATTTGCACTAGTATTTTAATTATAGAGAGAATAATATAATCAAAGATCCCCCTCTACTTATATTTCTATTAACTAATGTCAGTAATTTTCAAACTAAAAATTTACAAGAACTCGTGTTTCATCATTTTAACTTTAATTATAATCACTAACATATTATTCTAATCAAATAATATATAATTAAATAATAAAAATTAATTATAAATATATAATTTATATAAATCAACAAAAATGAGTATCAATATATGTTTGTTTTCAATTATAATTAAAAAATGACATCTTTATTAAATAAAAAAATTAAAAATATATAATTTCATTCAAATTAAATAGACCCAATATCATATTTAATATAAAAATAGTTACAATAAAAAATATAAATATGTGTCACCAAATATTTTGTGACAGATTTATCATGCCTCTGTGATAGAATTCATTGTGATGGAATATTACATTCAAACTACACAAATACTTTTGGGATAGCTAAATTGGTCACACTTTCCGTCCCAAATTCCATCGCAATAAATTGGGACACACAAATGCATCCCAAAATTTTGGGATGGAATTTAGCGTCCTAAAATCTAGGACAAATATTTGGGACGAAATTTGGAATGGGTTTTGGTTGCATTTGTGACTCTTTCAAGTTCATCACAAAATTCCATCCTAAATCTCCTGTTTTCTTGTAGTGAGTTTGGATTGCATGAGAGTGAATTCAATCTTAATTAAATAGGAACTAATTAACCAAAAGGTAATTAAGATACTTTACGAAGAATTGTTACTGTAATTGGTAAAGAGTTAATTTAAAGGATAGAGATTAGTATCTTATAAGGTGAATCCTGAACTCCAATGCTTCTATTGATTAGATAATCTTCATATTATTATTTAGTAATCTTTCTTATTTGTTCTTTTCTCATTTAATTCTCAACTCAAATATTTTTCTCAACTTTTTTATAAACTAGAGTTAATTGAAATAGTAGAAAACTTGCGCCCTTATGGGTTTGATGTAACATCCCAAAAGTTAATCTAAGGTTAAATTAATTAAGTGAGAGGCTTAATTAGTTAATTAAGATAACTACAAGTTAATTAAGGAGTTTGGATGATCATTTGGGTCTATTAGACCCTATAAGGGGTTTAAAATAGGGTTTGGAAGGCTATTGGACCACTTTAAGCCCAAATTAATAAGCTTAAGTGAGAGCCTCTATATTGTGACATTCACTGTGGTGCAAGGTGTTATGCTTTGCGACGGATGCATTGAAAATTTAATTCCAAGTTTTACGTCTTGGGTTGTATCAGAAGTGATATTTTTGAGTAGAGAATAAGGGAGAAACAATCTATTAGGGTTCATCTTAGGAGGAGATATGAGGGCTTTGGAGCTTGTAATCTTGTAGGTAAGTCTTCTCTTCTCTCTTTCTACTCTCCTTCACATTTTTCTTTTTCTTCTTTGGATTGTGAGAGTAGGGTCTAAACTAAAGACCAAGTCGCAGCCACTCTAATGACTTTAATGAAGTCTAATAAGAGTTATTTAATTTTCTCACCTATAGTTTGAGTGGGTAGCAACATTAAATGCCATTAATGAGGGTTTTAAAGTTAACCTTAATGTTAAATAATTAAGTTTAAGCTAATAAGATTAGCTAACAGTATCTATTAAGTTTAATGAGAGTTAAATAAGCTAACGGAAGTGAGTTTTGAGATTATTTTTAGTTAATCACACTTAATAAGGGTATTATGCTTTAATCATGAATAAAGATTAATTAATAACAATTAGTCATTAATGCTAATTATTGGTAGAGTATTGTTTTGAAGATTATATTGGGAGGAAGCTCCTTTGAAAATCCAAAATATATTCTTGGGGTGATAGCCCAATAATAGAGGCAATTGAAAATTTAATTTTAGTATACAATTGTGTTTGCCAATTGTAATTCTATAATGCTTTTAATGGCATGGAATATGTGGTAGAAGTATGAGTATGACTATGTAGCCTTGATGGTTGTTACTTGAGTTGTGAAACTTGTTCCTTTGTGTTGAAGTTATTATTGGTGGAAATATGTGCCCTATGATTGATGTTAGATTTGATGAGCTTGAATGGAGTATGTATTGATGATGTGAACATGAGTATGCCCATGCATAAATATGTGCCTTGAACTTGCATTATCATGGATTAGTGGGAATTCACTACTTCTAGCCCTGAGTGTCTAGGATCCTTATTTGATATCGAATTAAGATGAACTTAGAGCCATTTGTTAAAGTATTTATTTATCTCCTTGATTGGACGTTTGAGTTGAAAATTAGGTGTCCTGGAAGTTAGGATTAACTATTGTCATATCTGTGTTGTTTTGCTATATGTATCATGGCAAAATGTTTGCTTGGCTATGGTAGACGTGTCATTTGTGTTGGTCGTGGTGAGTGGCCTTTATGCCGCAAGTCATGAGGATTTGCCTAAAAATGTTGAAATGACTATTTTGCTCTTGTTTAAACTTGTTTTAATGCTTAACTATTTTTCAATGTTTGCAAAACATTTTATACTATGAATTTAAATGATTTTCAAGGGCCTTGACTTGCAATCTTTGCTTTCAAAAATTTTCTGGTGTCCTAATATTTAAATAATTATCAAAGTAAATCCTTGAATCTTTCCTTAGTCAAAATTGATCTTAATAGTATTTGTTAAGCTTATTAGATGAGTTTAAATATGGTTAATGTCGGAGGTCATTACATTTGACACTTGGAATACTTCAAATAATTTTATTATTGCGATTTCATATACTTGTGGGAGCGATCAACTTTTTGGCATCGTTGATAAGGGAGGCTAAATTTTTTTTATATCTTTAAATTTTAATTTTTTTCTATTTTTAAAAAAACATATTCTGTTGCTTTTATTTGATTTTTGTTTTAATATATATGTTGATTTGGCATTGCAAAATCCTTGATGATTTTGAGTTGACTTTATTAATCCAAAAATTGAACATCTTTTCAAAGAAAATAGGAAAAAATGGGTTTGAAAACAACTATATGTTAAGGCACCCCTTTGGAAAGATGTTAAGGTGCCAAATGTGATTTCTAACCCTTTTTTAGTTCAACTAAGTACAAAGACACGCAATTATGCATTTAAAATATATCATCTCAGTAGCTTGCCACAATTTAATGGGCATTCAACTAAAGATGCCTTGACTTTGATCAAAAGGTTCTATAATGTAGTGTTACTATTACCCTTTAAAGAATTGAATGAGGACACTTTAGGCCCTTTAAGCATCATTACAAGGTTTGATCCTAGGAGGTGTATGAAAAAGCTTCACTTGGAAGATGACAACCCCTTAAATGACACTCATATTCCTTGAAAGATTAGTCTTGTTGCTGTTGATTGTGGGGATACCTTGAATAAAAAAAGGTTAAACAAGGAGGAACAAAAGATGCAATGTTTTCCCCATTGCTTGAAGGACATTGCTAGTGAATGGTTGTTGAATTTACATGAAGGGTCATTAATAACACATATGTGAAAGTCTATAAAGCATTCGTGTTTCTATTCTATTCACCCAATTGAATTGAAAAGATAAGAGAAAAGATATTTCATTTTTTAGAACTTAATAAGGAACCATTACATGGGACATGCATGGAAGCGCTTTAAGACTCTTCTAAATCAATGCCCTTATCATAACTTTATAATTTATGTTGGTTGATATATTTATAAAGCTTTAACCTCTTTTTTTATCATACCCAAGTTGATATAGCTGTAAATAGATATGGAGGTAATGTTACAGCTGTAGACATGATGAATGTATATGAAAAATTACCAAAAATTCTAGGCTAAAGGGAGTTGATCTTGGAAAATGGGTTGATGCATATGAAGTTAACACTACATATAATATGGCTGCACAACTTAAATGGTGTGGCACATATAACTCCTTACTATAGTCAGGGTTAGTCTTATTTTAGGGTTTTAAATATATGCTCAATTATAGACTTCTAATATCATCTTTTTGTACACATCTCAAGTGAAACCTAACTTTGGTACCACTTTTTAGGAATAGGGAGCAATTGTTCAAAAATCGAGGGAGAGAACAAATAGGTGATAAAAAGTGGAGGATACCACATCTTAACAAACCTAAAGGTTATTGTATTCATTTGATTTGGTTCAAGAAGATTATAGATTGTGTAACATGCTTACTTCAATATCCACTTTTGGTATTAATAATCTCTCAAGCTAATCTTCCTGCACATCGTTGGGATGCTATAATAATTTAATGATAGATATCTATCGAGAATGAAGTATAGTATGAGCTTGCATGACCATACATGGGCTTGAGATCTATAGTAGCTTCACCATCAAAGTATTTTTAAGGCAATGTAAAACTGAAGTATTGAAATTTGTGTGGAGCAACTGGTCTATAAGTCTTTTTGATAAAGTAAAGCTAGCCTGATTGAAATATGAGACTTCCAAATTGTTGTCTTCATTTAAGACAAGATTTTGAGGCTTGATGTTGCAGTGAGCAAACCATTTTGATGACAAAAACATGGAGACTAGTTGCTAGAAGTAATGATGAGCTAATTTCTCTGTCAAACGGCACTTGCATATGATTTTCAAGTTAAGATCATTCAGCCTTTATCTTCATAACTTCATATATTTTGTGTATATTCAAGTGGTTATGAAAGTCGTGGATTATATTCACTTTGCAAACAATTATAGGTTCCAAGGAAGTTTCAATAGTTTTAAGTTTATTTATAGTCTTCATAACAACAATGGATTCATATGCTAATGAGAGTTCACAAAAAGACTTTAGTAAAGCTTTTATAATCAAGAAAATTTATCAATTGATAATTACCATGGATAGTAATGGTGCTAGATGACAATGAAAGGGTGGGTAGGGTTAATTGTATTTGTGGCGTCTTTAATATGGGGAGTTTATATACTCATACTTGAGAAGAAGATTGTTAGGATGTCCAAGTATAAATGGACTTGATTCAATGTAAGAGATCTTATATTAGATAAATTTTGATTTAATGACTAATATAATAAAGTGAAAGCTAAGTACCCATAAACTTGAGCCTTAAGGTTAAGTTTGGTATGCAAGCTTAAATTTAAAGGAATTAGGATTAGGATTGAGATTAGGAATGAGGCTTTAAAATTATATTTAGTATATAATAATAATTATATGGAATACTTACCTTCATTTTATTTTTCAGTTAAACATAAATTATGAAAAGATTATAATACCCTTTATAGTTAATTAAAAAAAAATCTAACCTCGGCATGAAACATCTCCTCCCTTATCACCATTTAACCCCAACCCTCCCTCCCTTTTTGTCGTGATTACTCTCTTTCTATCAAATGATAGCAGGGATGTTATTAGTGAAGGGGAGGATAAGGAAGATAGCTAAGGACAACCCATTTTTTGAGATTGACAAGTTAAAGGCTTTGTGACAATATTGGAGGGTGGAGAACAGAGAGTAGAGATGATGCACATAAAAACCAATAAACACTAGAAGTGTACGGGTTGCAAACATAGCTAATGGCAAATCAAGGTCAATTCCACAGAGAATTAAATAAAATGACAAATAGACATTAAATTCTCAATTTCATTCAAGTTAAGCAAGCAATTTATAATAGTAAATGATTTAGATTAAAAAAAAATAAAAATAGGCAACTAAGATTTTGAATCAATCTAAAGTCAAGAAACGATTAGGAAAGCATCCCAAAGTTCAAATCCCTCATTTGCTCTATTGCATTCAACTAACCAATTAAATTGATTTTAATTTTAGTTTTAAAGATTGAGACACTAGAATTAATCTTGAGTATCTTCCGATTACCCAAAATCCTCCTTAATTGTAACTAACAATTCCTTGCTAAAATTAGATTAAGAACATTAGGTTCAAATTCCTTCTCACCACTTAAGTCTTTTAGATACATTTCTATCCTAGAGGCAAATTAATTATAGTTCTTAAGTATTCAATTCCAATAGTCCAAATAGAAATTCCTTTTCTAAGTCCATTCTATTCCTCCAAATAATCACTTAATGATGGCCAATCATCAAGCAACACAAAGATATATTAGAATTAAAATATAAAACATCCATTAATCACAAAGTAATTAGTAAATCAAAATATAGTCGGAGAAAATGAGTTCATAAGACTCTAGAGTATCAAGATTTAGCCACATATAGCTAAATATAGTATCAAAATAGCAGAATAATGGGTCAAAATCAAATACATAGTAAAAAGAGAAAAGTGAAGGAAAACTTAACAAAAATGTGGATGGTGATGAGTAGTCTTATTCCCAAGTGCTCCAACATTGCCCTTAGACCTTAAGAGGAAATTAAAAACAAAGCCTCCCTTGAAAAACCCTATGTTCCCTCTTTTATTAGATAGAAAAATTGAAACTATGCGTTCTGCTGTGAAATCCATTATAACAGGCTCTATTTCTGGTTTAGAATTTGCTTTGTAACACCGACCTATTGTAGCAGCTGCTGTCGCGAGTAATCATTAAAGTCTAATTTTTTTTTCATTAAAATCATCATATTTTTCTTTCTCTACATCTTTCAAGCTTTTGCAATAGTTCCTAAAATTAAAATTATTCAAATTAATAATAAAAATTACTCTAAAAGAAATAAAAACATAATATTTACAAATAAGCTAATCAATACCAAGGTAAACACTAAACACAAGAAAATTAATAAAAAATCACTAGACGAGTCTCCAATATAATTGACCAATGCAACACCTCAAAATACATGAAAATATAGAGATCTTGATTAGCGATATTTGTCTCTCTTTCTTTTGTGTTGGACCTTCTCTTAGGAAGATCTACCAAATAAACTAGTTCTTTTAATCTTCTAATGATGTTTTTATTTTGGTCAAAGAGAAGAGAATTACTTGTTAACAGTATTGAGCGCATGCTTTCTTTGATTTTTTCTATTTATGCTAACCTTCCTGGTGGCTATTAAAATCATGTATTCATTTGGCACAAAATTTAGTCTATAAAAATCATGTTAGGAATTTTTATTGCTTTTTATATGGGGTTTTAACAAATGAGATTATTTTTGAGGATTCAAATATAATCTTATTTTCCTAGGCTGACTTTGTAGGCAAGGGAGGAGTCCGTCGGGGATAGTGGGGATGCGTACAGGATTTCGGGATGGTTAGAGGAAGCACGAGCTGAATGATGTGGAGAATGGAATTGCTTGCCTATACGGTATAAATTGACTTCACTACTATTAGAAGAACGGAGATGGCGAGCTTTGCAGTGAAGGAGATGAAGAAGGTGATCGGAGATGGATGAGAGTGGAGGGAGAAATGATGGGAGACACGGGAGGGAGAAGCTGATTAGCTTCATTTTAGAATTGGAGTGATTCATTTTTCTAGATATATTCATTATTATGATATTTTATGATTGAATTAAATTATTTTTCTTTTTTAGCTGGCACAAAAGTTTTAATTTTCAAGTCTTAATATTGCTTCACTCAAATTTATCGATCCAATAATATTCTTGCACTTTATCATTATTGTATTCGTATATAATTAATAGAAATAGCTTACATGTTCAAAGGCTTGTGTATTCTTGATAACAATAGTTATGATTGTAATTTATTTGACGAGTTATTTTTGTTATGAAATTTATTTGATAGTGATAATACTATCAAAATTTGTGGGTTTGGTGAATTAGATCTTGATTTATTTATAGAATATGTAGTGTGAAAAAGGAAATTAAAAAAAAATTTTACATACAAGAGTGCTTCTTTATGGAAAAGCTCCTATGGACTCTCTTATGGGAGCGCTCTCGATATAAGCGCTTTTCTCTGGTAGCTTTATAGGAGTACTTATGATGAGAAGCGCTTCGGTCTGGGAGTATATGGGAGCGCTCATCAATAAAAATGCTCTCGTAGACTTTCATGGAAGCACTTTCATCATAAGCTCCCCATACAAGAGTGCTTAAGAGTATGGGAGCACTTCATAGGCTGAAAAACAATGCTCCTGCAAGTCTTTTTTATAGTAGCGTGATTGAGAAAATTGGCTTAATAATAGAGGCCTAGAGGGCATTTTGATCCACAAAATTTCAATTCTAAGAATAAATCAATACCACTACCTCCCCTTATGAGTTTCACCAATCCTATATAGATAGGCTTCACCAATCCCAAGCTTTAGGCAACCCACCCTACCAAACATCTTAATATATATGGGCTTTATCAATCTAGTCTCGATCTTTACCCTTCTAATGCCTCATACCAAACAGGGCCTAAGATTTTAAGTTAAGATATAACGTCTTATGTTACTCATTTATTCTCCTCCTTTTTTCATGTATTCAAATTTTATTTCTAACAAGTGGTATTAGAGCCGCGTATGAGCTATATTAAAAGCTTGAAATTTCCCACAAATTTGAGCGCAAAAATAGGATTGATCCTGGTTGTATCAAAGACTTTTGTGTGTTAAACCATCTGAAGTCCAAATTTCAAAATGGGACTAACTTTGATTATACAAGTATATGATATAATGTAGTAGAAAGACCCATGAACTTGAGCTTAATACTTTGATGAAATTAAACAGGATAGGAAAATAAGATCACGCTTCTTGCTTTTTTGGGATTTTAGATGTGTAAATATGGGATCCCATCCCCTTATCCTAATCTCTTTCTCTTAATTTTAATATGAAGGAGGATCCGAATTTAAGAAATATTAAATAGTAAAACTAAAAATAATTTTAAGAACAATAAAGAAACCAATCATTTCTTAAAAATTATTCAAATAAAAAAATTCACACGATACTATATAACAAAATAATAAATATAATAAACCATCGCCCAAGTCGTGAACCAGCTTCATTAATAGATGACAAAATACAATACACCATGCACGGGTATATATAGAGCCATCACAAGCATTGGCTCGGCTCCTTCTTATTCCAAACCATGGCTGCGTCTCAAGAATCACTATATACACATTCGTAGTTTGGCATACCACACAACGTTTGATATGTCACTCAAACCTGTACGTATTATACAGAAAACGGTGTAGAAAATAGGACAAGTACGTACGTCGTAGTGTATAGGAATAATTCGAAGGAGTGCATATAACTTTGCCGACAATTGAAGGGTAAACGAATGAGGCTAAACGCCGAGAAGGCACTCGGATGGGGTCACAGGGAAGCGTGACCTGTCCTTACAATAGTCATATATCATGTGGTTGACACGAACCCACCTGTACATTCTAGCATCGATTCCATTAAGAGCTTGGTAAGCAGGACCTTCCCACCAATTTCTTGGGTTAGACGCGCAATTCGCAGGTCCTGGTACAGGACAACCTTCGATGTCGAAATCCTTGTAATATGCGTAGAATGGTGCTTTGCTCCAATCTATCTTCTCCAACCCTCCCCTCGTTGCCCAATCATCTGCCTCCCACAACGTTGAATACACCCCCATTGCCTGCATCTTTGGGTACGGAATTCCCCTCGCTTCATTGTTCTTGTACACTCTGATCGGGACATCATCAACTTTGAACCTGCATATATATAGACATAATTTGCAACACATAAATTAACCGAGGTTCAACGTACGTAAATGATCATATATTTGTGGTTGAATATATTGACTTACACAATCTGGCGACGATTCCAGAGGATAGCGTAGGTGTGGAAGTCGATGGAAGGATCAAACCAGAGGTTGACTCGTTGTTCTCTATTTCCCTGTCCGTGGACAAAGATGTTTGTTTGAACTGTGTATGGCTGACCGCTTCGGTTTCCCAAGAACTCGAAATCCAGCTCGTCCCGAACCGCGTTCGTGTCCGAGTTCATCTGCGTACCGTGCACGTTTGTAAAGAACATGAAGTACTTGACTCATACAGATATATATGTTTGTTTGCGTGTGTGAATTCTTACATAGAAGGCAGTGACAGTTCCGGCAGAGTCTCCGGCGACGAGCTTGATCTTCATGCTAATACGGCCAAACATGTACTTTCTGTAGGAAGCGAAACCACACCCTGAACAAACAAGATTGGCGGTATTATATAGAATTCATTAGTTAGTTCAAAAAGAAGGGAAGAGAGATGAACCAGAGTTTCGGTCAAGAGTGAGTTGGACAGTGGTGCCGATTTGCTTGAGATGGTAATTAGACCACGTGACTCGAAAATCCTGGGCAAAAGTGGCAGGTCTCGCCGAAACACACACAGATGATGCCACAACCCATAACAGTGAGCAAACTCCAACGTGTCTCCAACTGTAAAATACAGCCATATATCCTTACCCTATAACGTTTATGGGGACTCGTTTAGTATTGCACTTTTGGTTGATTCGGAGTGGACATGGCATACACACAAGATATATATTTATAGAGGGAGAGCGCTAGAGAAAAAGTTTGAGAAAGACGAAAAAATATACAAGGAGACTATTTCAAAGGAGATAGCTTTCGAGACAGCTAATGACGAGGCGTCATTAGGGCCTACATACCGTAAAGCACTTCTGTAATTTTGTGAATGGGAAAGAACGTAACGGCCTAAACATTCATGTGTGGACTTGCACTTTGAATGCTATGAATGACGGATGGATGATCAACATCGATCGATCCCACTAATTTTCTCACCTGTATTTTCCACGCGTGCGTGTGGGGGATGTAGACTATATGCTCTTTCACAATACTACTAACTATATACGCATTTAAATATACAAGCTAGCATCAATATGGGATTTACGTTTGTGAATTTTTAACCTGTTACGCACTCTGTGTTGAATTAATTTTAACGATGTATATATGGCAGAAGTAGTATGGACTGATCCATCTGAGCCCACGAGTCCACGACGTCAAGATTATCTAAAAAAAAAAATTGAAAAATTTGTAGAACATTGGTACTGTTATGGAATAAACGCAAACAGGGCCTAGTATAGATAGGTGTGGGAAAGAGGAATAATAAATGGGAGAGGTCAAAACAAAGGGCCTGGTTGGTGACAGAGGAATTGAAGTCTCCATTATTTGGGTTTGGGAGCAAAGCAAATACATCTGTGGACAGCCAACAGAGAGGTTGATTGATTTCGATTCCAAGGCTCCCATCACTCCTATCCTTGGACCACTTCATTAAACTCATAATGCACCAAATTTTAAAAGAAAGTTAAATTGTTGTATGATTATGCTCCCAAACATATGGCTAAGTTTCGTTTTTCCAATAAGAAGTTCAAGTTCAGGGTGTGGAAGAGCTCTACCTTCTTGAACCCCACTTTAATCCTTCCAATTTAAGATGACAGAGAAAGTAAAGGAGCCTGTTATTATTTCCTAGTGCCACAGTTGGACCAAGCACTTAAAGAGTTAAATTCAACTCTTTATACATGGTGTGACTGTATAATGTGAGTTTTCTTTCCTATGTGGGAAGATTGTAGATATATATGGTATGGGGGTTTGTTATTGTCCCCTCTTAGAAAAAGGAATTAAATTAACATTGGAGAGAGTTCTATACCTTCTTATAGTTATAAAATAACCCTTTTATTCTTTCACTTTAAGATAATAGAGAACGTAAAGTGTAGAATTAAATTAAAATGGTTTTTTTTTCATATGAATTAATAACTAGTATCTGTAATTAACTTACACAACTTCAAAACATAGTAATAATAGAAAAGAAGCACGCATGACAGCTACATCTTTAAACTGGAAAATCAGGAAGGTTTAGTGGGGCAAGAGCCAAGCTAAGAGAGGGGAAAACTCTGTTTGTTTTCTAATCACTTCTATTCATTCCAGCTGTACACAGATACTCCCTTCCATTCATAACATTTTTCACAAGCTATTGTTGCTGTAATTTTAAAAAGTATCTTTCTAATTTTACAATTACGTTAACTAATGTGCAATGAGTAATTATGCATGAAAAATCGTGGGTGAAATTTTAAAAATTGAATTTTCTTAATATACATGCGTTATATAGAAAGTATTTTTCTATATAGTTAAATTTCTTGAAAAAAAATAAAGCATAAAGTCGAAAATACCTTTCATTGGGGGATGTCATTGTTGAAGTATTTATTAGGGGGAAAAAGGAATAAGGACAAGAAAATTTCTCTTTATTTCAACTCAATTCTCATCGCAATAAAAGTAGGGTCCAAAATTTCTCTTCAGAAAAGTGCTAAGGATTGGATAAGAAGGGTGTATATATGTCCTCTCTAAACTTGTTTTTTTCCAAAGAATAATTATAATAAGCCAATTTATCACCGGATGGCTTCATAATAAACCTCCACTCACTTTATTACTACCAAGAGACAGAACAGACAAAGGGCGACAGCTACCTCTTGAAGGGATGTATCTCAGTGTGAGTTATAAAAAAAAAAAAAAAATCTGCTGGTTTTTGTTGGAATATCTCAGCTTGACTCGTCAATAAAATTTTGTATTTGCTTCCACAGGTTATACTCATAAACTTTAATTAGTACTATTTAATGTAAAATGATTTGTGATATTACATAGTTACTTAAGACACACACACACATACACGCACGTGTAATGAATTTATGTAGAAGCACAATTGTCAGCTGTCATTTTTTGTACTCCGCCACGTTTTGGTGTGATTATTATATTCACTAGATTCTTTGGCCATTCCCTTTCTAAATGCCCAGGTTACGGTTTCCATTAATTCAAAACCCTAGTTGCTGTTATTGAGCTTTACTTATTTCTGTTAGCCAAAAAAAAAAAAAAAAGAAAAACATGTACTTATTTCTTTGCAGACAGTCAATACATGAGCTGGCTTGACAAGGCCTTATGATGAGAAGAGCTTATATACTGTGGAGAGAGAGAATTAATCTTATGATTATATTCTCGTGGATATTTAATGGAGAAAAGAAGTCCATTATTTTTACGCATAGAGATAGATGAGTTTGAGATGGAGTGGTGTGTCAACATCAGCTAGGCGTAGAGAGAATATAATACAGATGAGTCATTGGGACGTGTAGTTGGGAATTTGCAGAGATGAAACTTGAAAAACATGGTTCAGTTTTTGATCAGTACAAAAAGCAACAGCTATATTCATATCATTGATGGAAAATGGAATCGCACCTTTCGTTTTCCCAGCATGCACCAAACTAGCAGAGAGCCCACCTATGGTGTAAATTGGTGAGGCTGGGTCTGGGACCCAACATGATTGAATATGAGTGACGTTCATGGGCCTGTTGTATGTGTTCACAAGCCATCGTTTTTCTTCTTCCACTTGCTTATTGGATTGCCATTCAGATGTGAACGTGAAGACAGACATCCACCAATAAGAAAAGACCTTTTCTTTTCATTAATGTCTTTGCTCAAAATATTTAGTGCATTTAACATTATTTACTAATTACTAATTCAAATATTGTTTATAACAAAGGTTGGAACTCAAAATTAAACTTAGATATCAAGTTTTTGTATTTGTTCCAATTTTTGCTTAATAAGAAAAATTAATCATCTAACTTTAGTTGGGAATGAGAGGGAGTATAAGAGAGTCTAAATAAGCGTGCAACAATATACAAGAAGATAGTTAAAAGTGATGAGCTGGAGACTGTCATATTTTAATCCAAAACTTTTAAAATTGTGATCCTATAGACCATTTCATTTATACACTGCTTATTAAATACATTTCTATCTAATGTGGGATTTTCGATGACATCAAATTAAGACCAAGGCTTGACCAATTTTGTGCTTCAAATAGTGTGCAATTACAAGCTTTGGATGATAAACTAAAGCTCCAATGCCACTTGTTGGGTTTTAAAAAGCATCTCAAAACGGGGAGAAATGCAATGAGTAATGAGAGGATCTTTCGTATAAGTTTGTTTAACACCATTATCTTAATTTAAAACTGTAAAGCTATGAGTTCATAGATTCTTCAACTACATATACATAGATACATACATTTTGTTAAGCTTGACTTTATATATAATATGAGACTTCTCATATTGTGTGCATGTATATTTTTTAGCAATTTCCTTGGAGCACATCAAAAGAAAGACTTAAGTTATAATATTAAAGAACCACTTCAGGAAGAACCAAGACCTGAGACATGTCTAAGCGGTCAAAAATTATAAAACAAAGAAACTTAATTAATTGTTAATGTGATTACATGTTTTGATTGCCCTTATCCTAAGTGGCTACTTAGTTCTTATCCTAACACAGTTTGTTAAGAAGCCTTGTCCACCACTCGTCATGGAAGTTAAGAACAGATAGAGATTATTGAATAGTGGTTCTTCTCCTCTTAATTTGATGTGTACTTCTTAACCACTTTCATATATGCCACGTCACAGTGGGGTGTTTCACATCAAATAAGCCGTCAAAAAACCCTTATCTTGATCTTAATTCTTTTGGAAATTATATTATCCTGTTTTTTTTTTTTCAATTCTTCGATTGGATATATATTTATTTATATTATTGCAAACATGCGTGTTCACTTGAAAAGTTCAATTTCAAAACCATCTCAAAAGATGGTTTTATTATATGAACAGACGCTAACAGCTTTTTTTAACCCATGAAGCATACCGTGATTTTAAGATGCATATTATGAAATTAATTTCTTTGGCTAGCCATGAAATTAAGGTTTATGACACGATTAATAAAAATATATTATTGCGTTCACAATTTATTTAAAATATATAACCTCAATCCTTTCAATTGAAAAAAGGATAGTAAAATATTGACAAAAGTATATTTTTATCATCTAATTTATATAAAATTAATTTAATCCCTCAAATTTATAAATTATTTATATAATTAAATGCAATACTATATTTTTTATGAAATTTTTAAATGCGAATAAAACCTGCTTGAGTACTGATATCATTTTATATTTTAAAATCTATCTATCCGTAATCCATCTATTTATATAGTAAAGTAGAATGGTTATTATTGGACATAGTTAAAAAAATTTCACTGTAGCTCAACAACAATAACCATTGTACTGTTTTTCAAATTAATATTTTTAAAATCATATCTTTTCAAAAAAATAGTAATATAAAAAAGAATTTTCATATCAAATTTTTGAAATAATATTTGATTTTGATTTTTTATTTTTAAATTTTAGAAATTACTTCCTTTGTTTAAAAATGTAAGATATTTTTTAAGGAGTTGGATGTTCAAAAATATAAGACATTTTTAGTTTTTTGAGGTATAATTATTGTCATCTTTTCAGAAGTGCCCCTATTAATAATAACTTTATATTTATTGTAGGTATTTAATAGGGGTAAATATGAAAAGATAGGGTTAGTTATAAAGTATGTAACTATTTTATTGGAGGGTGAGATTTAGTTAAAAATACTTTACATTTTTGAATGGAGGGAGTATGTTTTAGTTTTTTAATTTATACATGACTAAAATTAGTTATTAATTTTTTAAC